TGTGTGTGTGTGTGTGTGTGTGTGTGTGTGTGTGTGTGTGTGTGTGTGTGTTTGAAGCTAGGTAGTAAGGACACATATTTTTTTATTACAAAAACTCAGGCCAGGTTATGGTGGCACAGGCCTTTGATTCCAAAACTCAGGAGGCAGATATAGGCAAATCTCTGTGAGTTCGAGGCCAAGTTGGTCTACAAAGTGAGTTTCAAGGCAGGCAGCCAGAGCTACATAGAAAGACCCTATCTCCAAAACAAAACAAACATAAAAACGACTCGAGGGGCTGGGAGTGCAGTTCAGTTGGTGGAGTACTTGCCTACCATAAACAAAACCCTGGACTCAGTCCCGAAGTCTGTATAAACTGGGTATGGAGGTGCATGTCTGTGTATACACAGATGCATATTGACTGCTACCTGGCTTTGGGCATGAGTGCTCGGGATTTGAACTCAGGTTTGCATGCTTTTGTGCAGACACTTTTCCTACAGAGCCTCAAGTAATATATTCTATCTATAAAATATGTCAGCTTTAGTAAGGTGAACAGGAATAGAGGTCAGCAATTTAAAGGCACATGCCACCACTGCCCAGCTTTATGGAACTGCTTTGTTTTTGTTTTTCTGTGTAGCCCTGGCTGTCCTGAAATGCACTTGGTAGACCAGGCTGGCCTCAAACTCACAGAGCTCGGCCTGTCTCTGCCTCCTGGGTGCTGGGATCAAAGGTGTGTGCCGCCACCACTTGGCACTATTTGTTTGTTTGTTTCAAAGACAAGATCTCACTGGCCTCCGGTGCTTGGCTCAGTCTCCTGACAAAGTCAAGTCTCCCAAGTCCTGGGACTACAACCATGCACTCCCATGCCCCACACTGTTATTCTAATTTTATAGCCCCTTCTACATCATTTAAAAAATCAGGCCAGCGCTGCTTTACTGGAGACCATGCCACTCTCCAGAACTGAGTCTACTCCAGGACCTGGAGCCCCAGAGGCCACAGCAGCTCCCAGAACCCTAGAACCCCCAAGGCAATGCTGACACTCAGACTCCAGAGGTCATTGCGGCTACCAAAACACCAGCAGAAATACCACATTGGACCTGAGGACTTACCAATGACGCTAACCACATACCACTTACACCAGAAGACCAGGAAGAAAACAGAAACCAAGGGGGAAAACATTCATCCAACAAAGATAAACTCAAAAATTGGCACCTAAACCTTATTTATCCCAAACCCAGATGCCTAGAGGCCAGCATGAGAACACAATCAACAACAGTCAGGGCAAAATGACAGCACCAGAGCCCAGCCATCCTACCACAGCAAGCCTGGATATTCCAACACAGCCGAAGCGCGCGCGCACGCATGCGCACACACACACAGCTCAAAAGCAATCAATGAGCCAGACTTAGTAGTGTGTGCCTGTAATTCCAGCACACAGGGAGGCAGAGGCAGACAGATCTCTGTGAGTTTGAGGCCAGCCTGATCTACAAAGCAAACCCATGACTGCCAAGGGTACACAGAGAAACCATGTCTTAAAAAAAAAAAAAAATCAAATAAAGATAATAGAGGCCCTTACAGAGAAAATTAATAAACCCCTTAAAGAAATGGAGGAAGCTTTCTGCCTCCTCTGCCGCCATGGCGCCAGTGAAAAAGCTTGTGGCGAAGGGGGGCAAAAAAAAAAGAAGCAAGTTTTGAAGTTCACCCTTGACTACACCCATCCTGTAGAAGATGGAATCATGGATGCTGCCAATTTTGAGCAGTTCCTCCAGGAGAGAATCAAGGTGAATGGGAAAGCTGGGAATCTTGGCGGAGGGGTTGTGACTATCGAACGGAGCAAGAGCAAGATCACTGTCACTTCTGAGGTGCCTTTTTCCAAAAGGTATTTGAAATATCTCACCAAAAAATATTTGAAGAAGAACAATCTTTGAGACTGGTTGCGTGTTGTCGCCAACAGCAAAGAGAATTATGAATTGCGTTACTTCCAGATTAACCAGGATGAAGAGGAGGAGAAGGATTAAGACACATTGGTCTGGAATGTTTTGTATTAATTCATAAATAAAATTTAGGAACAAAAAAAAAAAAATGGAGAAAAACACAAACAGGTAAAGGAAATGAATGAAATCATTTAAGACCTGAAAATGTAAAGAGAAGCAATGAAGAAAACACAAACTGAGGGAATCCTGAAGATGAAAAATCTAGGTAAGCAAACAAGAACTACAGACACAAGTATCACCAACAGAAGAGATGTGGAAGAGAGACATAAGAGACAGAAGAGAGAATCTCAGGCATAGAAGATATAATAGAAGAAACTGATACATCGGCTTAAGAAAATATTAACACCAAAAATTTCCTGACACACAACATCCAGAAATTCTAAGACCCTATGAAAAGACCAAACCTAAGAATAATACAAGTCAGAGAAGATCCCCAAATCAAAGGCCCAGAAAATATTTTCTTTCTTTCTTCTCTGAGACAAGGTTTCTCTATATAGCCTCAGGTGTCCTGGAATTCACTCTGTACACCAGGCTGACCTCGAACTCACAGAGATCTGCCTGCCTCTGCCACCCTGAGTTTTAGTATTAAAGGCATGAGCCACCACTGCCCGGCACAGAAAATATTTTCAACAAAAATCATAGAAGAAAATTTTCCTAACCTGAAGAAAGGGATGGCTATAACGGTACAAGAATCTTACATAAATAGATTGGACCAGAAAAGAAAGTCCCTCTGATATATATATATATATATATATATATATATATATATATATATATATATATATATAT